ACTCTGTTCCATGTATCTATACCTCTGGTTCTATTTTTCCTGTACATTTTTTTTTAATTAGATTTCACATATAAGTCAGCATGGATGGACCTGGAGATTATTATGCTAAGTGAAATAAGCCTGTCACTGAAAGACAAATACCATATGATCTCACTTAAAACTTCTATTTTTAAAAGGCAATGTTAAGAAAGTAAATAGACAAGCCACAGACTTGTGGAAAATATCTATAATAATAAAAGCGTAATATGCTAATTAGACCAGACGTCCTTCCAGACGACTTTCTGGATGAAGCTGGGCTGCAAGGGAAGCTGGTGCCGGCAGCTGGGGGAAGGAAGGCCTACTCTTGCATGATTTTTGTGCATCAGGCCTCTAGTTTTTAAATAATATATTTGACTAAAATGCTTGTGTTCAGAATATATAATGAATTTTAGAACTCAATAATAAAAAATGACAAATATTTGAACACTTCACCAAAAACATACAAATGGCAAACAAACACATAAAAAGATGCTCAACCTCCTTAGTCATTAAGAAAATGAAAACAAAAATCACAACAAATATAACCATGAGCTTTTAGAAAGACTATAATTGAAAAGCTCAACTATTGTCAAGAACATGGAAGAACTAGAATTCTCATGCAATGATGGTGAGGATATTTAATGATGCAATCATGTTGGGAAACACTTTGGCCATTTCTAATTCAGTTCATCATACATCTTCCATATAATCCATCCATTTCATTTCTCATAAGAAATGAAAGTATATTTATAAAATATTGGTATGCAAATAATCATAGCAGCTTTTTTGAGATGTACTACACTGAAAACAGTATAATTGTCTATCAACAGGTGAATAGATAAACAAATTACAGAATATCCAAACAAAGAAATACAACTCAGCAATAAAAAGGAATGAACTATTGACACCCACAATGGACACCCACATACAACAAGTATGATGTAAGAAGACAGACAAAAAAGAGCTTCACAAAAGAACATGAGAAAAATTTTGCCATTTGTTGCAAGTGATGGATAATGATTTTGGTGATTTCTCATATATATTAAAGTTTACTCTAATAAGTGCAGCTTATTGTATATCAATTATTCCTCAATAAAGCTAACAACAAAGAATTAATCTTAGTCATTTTGAAACTTAAAACTTGAACTTGACCCAAAACTAATTTTCTCTCCTCCCCCTACAGAGGAGATGGGGTTGAGGAGCAGGTTCTACTTCCTCTAGTGTGGGGCAAAGACAAAGATGAAAGAAGGCATGGTCTCCGTGTACAACTTCCTCTTGGTAGTTTGGTGGTGTTTCTGTTCTCATTCTGGGTGAGTCTTATTTTATCTGCTATTGGGGACTTGGCTGATATTAGGATCTCCACATGGGTAGTGTGCATAATTCCCTCAGGGTGGTGCTCACTTTCTCTGATCGATGTTTCTCTCCCTCCCCCTTCCTCTCTGAAACCAATAAAAATATATTTTAAAAAAGAAAAAGGAAACCCCACGTGTCTATACGGTGAGATAAATCTCCAACACGTACACCAACCGTGCTCTGTCCAACGTGGACGACAGAGGGAGGCTGCGGCCCGTGGACACCGTCCACCCGTGAGCTGAGGACCGAGAGGGCTCATGTCATCCGGACCAAATGGCCGAGAGGAAGGACGAGCCCCCCTGGGGTGGAAACGTTCACCCGGGAGCGTCCCTGTGTGGTCTCCGGACGGGCACACAGGGCGGGGCGTCTGCTAACTGACAGACGATTCAACCCAGGAAGGAGGGGTCGTTCATTCACACACGCGCCTCGGTGTTGTCCTGGGTCTCCCCACGCCCCTCCGTTCTTTGCGACAAGTAACTACCCTACGGAAATGACTTGTAACGTATATGGTTGCCCCTCGGTTTGTAAGCTTCAGAGCGATCTCTCTTGGAACTTCGGGGTAGAAGAAACTGCCTTTGCTTCCTGTGATCGAACGAGGCCGAGAAGAATAACTCACAGGACGGGGAATATTCTGAAAGGGTTGCATTGAAAAATACATTAAGACCGGAGTTTATATTACTAATCCAATTAGAAAAACGAGGGGAAAGTTTCATTATGGGGCTAATTGAACAGGCGCAACCCAATGAGGGGCTGCGGCGTAGTAGACGATCCCGCTAATTACTCGGGGAAGGATGGTGGGCCGTGATTTGTGAGGGGCGGACACTTAAATTCGGCGGCGCTGGGACTGGGAGCCGCTAATCGCCGAGGCCCTCGCTCGTCCCGAGGCCCGCGCAGGTGATGGCTTCCTGTTGGTGATAAAAAATGGCTAATCAAGGCATAAAGCTCCCCTTCCACGCTGAGGTAATAAAAGTGAATTAGACACGCAGAGCAAAGTGATAAAGAAAGTAGTTAAGGCCCTAGAAAGACTGATTAATAAATGTCACCCTGGAACAGCTCGGCTCTCTCAGAGCGAAACCCTCCACCGAGGAACAAAACGTTCATTTGCACTAACATCCGGGATCCGTTCACACCAGTTGCTGGGCGCTGAGATGGGCAGGAGGCCGTGGACACCGCGGTGGTGCCTGGACTGCCGCGCTGACAGGAAAACCAGGGAACGGAGCCGCCACAGGCCCGAGGCAGAGACCGCCGAGCAGAGCCGAGTGAGAGGGAGTGTGAAGGATGCACTGGGCGGACCAGGGGCCTCGGCCCATCTGACAGATCCGGACAAAATAAGCCCCAACTGTGATTTTCCAATGCAGCCAAGACAGCGGATCTCTGGGGTTCTTCAGGAGACAGCAACGTGCCCCATGCATTCATGGTTGGTCCTTAAACTGCCTTTGGCAATCGGGCAAAGAGAAGGTCTAAGACCAGAACGTGTTAAAAAACAAAGGTGTATTGGGTTTTCTTGAAAAGTCACTGCCAAACACTGACACGCCTTGCCCGAGGGGTGCCTGCCGTAGCCTGGCCGCTCTGCGTGCACAAGCTTCCCCGTGAAATGTGGGGACAACGACACGGGAGCAAGGGTCACACCGAGCGAGCTCTGCTCTCCCCAGCCTCTCCCACACCGTATCCTTCCCGGGCGTCCGCTGCAATTTCTTTCTGGGTGTGACCTTCCTGCACAGGGACTGGCCAAGCATCCGTGCACATCCCCACGTGGGAAAGCCAGTGGGAAGGGTGTGCAGCCCAGACCGCCCGCGTCCCCCCCCCCCCCACCAGGATTTCATGTCCCGAGACTGACCTTATGCCCTTCGTCCCTGGCCGGGCTCTTCCTCTCCGCTCGCAGCATCAGGGCAGGAGGGCGGGGCGTGCGGACCCGGTCCCTGCTTTTCTCTGTTGGACCAAAACAGTCGTCATTAGAATCCCCTTGGTCACGTCCGTTTGGAGAAAACTAAACAAGGGCAACATGTGGCCTGGACGGTGGTCTCGTGGCAAGTCCCTCCAACGAGGCCCAGCTCCTCTGGTGACCCCGTCTGTGCCTGCTCGCAGCCCCACCCCCAACGCTGTCGGCCACACCTCACGACCAGGCCACGTGGGCTACGGGTGGAGGGGACACGGGCTCCCTGACAAGGACAGGAGGCTGATGGGGGACCAGGTTTCTTAGGCTTCCACGGCTCGTGGCCACCACTCCTGTCTGCCCATCACTAACGTGGCCGCTGGCTTCGCCATGGACCAGACAACCCTGCACTTCCAAGAGTAGTTTGGGAGACAGAAGGGGAAACGTCAAAAAAACTGGATTCTGAACATAAAACAATTTCAGTTTCACCTTGTTCTAAAACGTCTACAGAGACCTTAAGCTTTTGTGAGTGGGAGAGAGGTGCCATGAGCGACGTCGGGGATTAACCACTGTTCATACCAAGAATTAGGAGAGGAGCCCAAACCATCAACCTCCCGCCCACCTCACAGCCACAGCCACCGAGAGCCCTGAGGCGCCTCATGGCCCTGCAGGCCAGGACCCTGCGAAGCCTCTGTCCAGCCCAGGAAGTCCAGGAAGGCCGGCGGTAGGACGACATGAAGACAGCGGCATCCCTTTACACACGTGTGTTCCTCTGCAAATGCACACGCACACACGGAAGTGGCGGGAAGTTGCCTTGAAGTCCCCTCCAACTCAGGCATCTGCACTTGGAGGGCAGAGAGGGGGGAAGGGCCAAAGAGCCCATCCCACCTGCACCCCATTTTCCTCAAGACACGGCCACTCTGGCCTCCTCTGACCCCCATTCTGGGGAGGAGGTTGCAGGAAGGGACCACGTAGGCTGGACCCCACATGGGGCCTGAGCATCATGCCTCTGGAGGCGTCTGTGCCGGGAACCCTCGTGGCTGCAGGCAGCACAGAAGGGACAGCTCTGGACCTGGACCGATGTCCGGTCCCCACGGGGCTGCTGCCTCTGGAAAGGCCGAAGCACACAGAGCCGACGGGCCCCCTCGTCTGTCACATGAGAGATGGGTGGACAGCAACGTTGCGACCACAGCGAGGCTTGCTGCCCACTAGCTGTCACTCTGAAGACCCCGCGGGCTCTCCCCAGCAGCCAGCTGGCGGGTCAGGCTGTTAAGGGGCCCGGAGCTCAGGCTGATGGCAAACAGACCATGTCCTCACACAGAGGCGGCACCGGCCCCAGAATCCTGAGCAGCTGTGGCCACGACCAAGAGGCACACCTCGGGCCCGGCCATGCCAAAGGTCTGATCACGACTGGCCTTGGGGAAGGCAGACAGGGAAGGTCGCCTGGAAGTCTGGGAGGGAACGGGGCCCAGACAGGAAATCTCTATGTAGATCACCTGTCGAGTATGTATTGCCTGCTCACGGGGAGCCAGAACAGCCTGAGGTGTTTGTGGGGAGCGATCAGCTTCTTCCCTCAAAACGCATCAGGACCTGGCAAGGCTGGCCCAAGGGCAGCGCAGGAGAGGAGCCCTTGGGGGGGGGGGGGGTGACAGTGGCAGGACCTTATCCCCTTGAAAAGTGGGGACAGAAAAGCTGGGCTCCTTCTCTGGGGCAAGACGTAGCTTTGCACACTCTCGAGGCTCAGCAATTCATCCACCTCGTTCCCGTAAGAGAAGAATGCGGCGGGCTTGCCCGAGTCCAGACTCCACGGCCAGGTCTCCAGCCTGTCGCCTCTTGGTCAGGGGTCCAGATCGAAGGCACCTGCTCTCTGAGAGTCTCAGAAATGAAGACGCAAAGGCACCTGCCATCCCCTGGGGTCAGGCCCCAGATCAAGGGCAGCGTGGACGCGACAGGAGGGGACGGGCCAGGAGTGGTTGTGTGCCCTGGCCGTGGTGAAGAAGACCCACATTGAATAAAGCATTAGGATGTGTTTAAACATTTTTAAAAAATGGCTTTTTAAAAATTACTGAAACAAAGAACTATTGCAGACAAGTCGAAATGGTCTAACTTGTCAAAAAGATGCCCGGCTGGTGTGGCTCACTGGCTGTCACAGTTCGATTCCCAGTCAGAGCACGTGCCCAGGTTGCCGGCTCCATCCCCAGTGTGGGGTGTGCAGGAGGCAGCCGGTCAGTGATGTTTCTCTCTCATGGCTGATGTTTCTATCTCTCCCTCTCTGAAATCAATAAGTATATATTTAAAAAAAAAAAAAGAAAAGAAAACAAGACCTGAGAAATATATCAGCATCTCCTAATTCGAAGAGTGATTCTGAAATTCAACCTAATTTTAATTCAATAATATTGACATCTCCCGGTCTCAGCTTCCTCATCTATGAAATAATTTCCTAAGTCCCTTCCCATTCTGGGATTCCATAAGTCCACAGGACGCCGGGAACTGCCTGGCGTACACCCCAAAGCAACACAAGACAAACACAGTGGCCTAGGAGGGCCGGTGAGAACACGCTTCCTCTAGATCCTGCTGGGGAAGGGGGCTCATTCCCAACTCAAGGACACGGAGTAGCCCAAGGAGTAGGCAGGACAGAGGATTCACTACTCCTGTTCTGAAAAGCTAAGCGACCTCTGACGGACTGTCCCTTTGGAACCAACCTTCTCCGAAGAATTTGTGGGAAGCCTCCCCTTAGACCGAGAGGACCCCCGGCCCACACATGATCCGAACCACATGCCCTGGAGGCGCCGTAGCTCGGAGGAGCCAGTGGGATGAGGAGTTCCTGGTTGTGGCAGACCACTGGCCTTTCCGGGAAGGGTTTACGAAGAAAATCCACAGCGACATCTGTGCACCTGGCCTCGGCCCACAGCCAATGGAAGGCCCCCTGGGACGAGCTCAGCAAACAGGTCATTGTCGGGGACCCGTGCTGGGGACAGATGACTCTCCGGTGACCTCTGTTCTTGGAGAGCCCAGGTAGGATGTGGGGGAGTCAGGGGACAAGCCCGGAGCCACTGGGGCCCATTTCCTGTCGGCCACAATCCAGGGGCCCCATTTCTGTGGGTAGATGTTCTCACCTCCAAGAACACATAACAAACCACCCACCTACAGAGATGCCGTAAGGCAGTGGTTCTCAGCCTTCTGGCCCTTTAAGTACAGTTCCTCATGTTGTGACCCAACCATAAAATTATTTTCGTTGCTACTTCATAACTGTCATGTTGCTACTGTTATGAATCGTAATGTAAATATCTGACATGCAGGATGGTCTTAGGCGACCCCTGTGAAAGGGTTGTTCGACCGCCAAAGGGGTCGCGACCCACAGGTTGAGAACCGCTGCCGTAAGGAGAAGAATGGGCGGCATTTTAGTCCAGCGTCTGCCCGCAAGCGCCACCTGAAAATCATTTCTGCAGCCAGCAGGGCAACCTCCTCGCTCACACAAAAGGAAAAGAGACGAGGTGCGCTGTGTTCCAGGTGACAAGCGAGCCTCCAGGGAGGGCTACGATTATTTGTCCATTTAAGCAGCACTGGGCTCCTTTGAGAATCGTGATAATAAGGGAAAAATGCAATTTATGTTTGAGATAATAGAGATGACACACTCAGGCCCACTGTCTGCGGCTCTCAATGAGGCTTGAAGAATGCATTGATTTTCAGAGCCTGCCTCCTCCGCAGGAGCGGAAACACTGAGGGGACGGGGTCCTGGGGAAAGCGGCCGGAGCCCGGCCTTCACGCTGCCCGAGGGGAAATCGCACAAGCTGCTGGCCCAGGTGCCAACGGAGGCGAGAGAGACACAGCCAGCCCCAGAGAAGCCTGGGGGGGCCGGGGCTGGGATTGACCGGGTGCTAGGGGGGCCTGGCTGCAGCTCAGTGAGGGGAGCCCAGCACAGAGCCCAGGCCCCCTGTCCTTGGACATGGTCACTGTCCAGTCCAGCTGGGAGCACAGGGCTTGGGGGCTGAGAGGAGGGATCCTGGGCTGCCGGGGGCGCACACCGGGCCCTGCTGCCGGCTGTGATGGAAGCAGACACCAGGGGCTCAGGGACCCTCCATCTGCACCCGCCTCCCGTACACGCGCACAAAGACAAGACCATTATTATGATGATGGGTTTGTAGCGATTACAGGTGATAGATAAATGGATTCCTCTAAATCCACTGTTTAGTCAGAACCGAAGAGGAGCTGATGCATGTATGCAAAACACAAACAAGCAAAATGTCAGCATTGCGACTTTCTAAAGGTGACATAAAAATAAGTCGTCTGTTATAGTAAAAACCTCTGCATTCCAGGCTGCTTTGAGACGGGGATGGAAACTGCCCCAAAGTGTATGGTTCCCTGATCGGGGGTCCGCCTCCCTCCTCTGCCACCAACGGCACGTTCTTGTCTCCTGCTCCGCGGGCACGAACCCCTCCCGGGCGTGCAGGGGCGGGGGAGGGCTGTGCCTGGTCTGTCACGGCCACAGAGGTGGCAGCCCCGCAGCAGGGACAGAGTTCCCGGGGACGCCAGCCTGCACACCTCCTGTCCCCGCCGGAGTCTGACTGTGCTCTCCCACTGCCGCTTCGCTGGGTCTTGAACGAGGTCTGTCTCCACTATTTTCCTTCTAGCAATCGACCTGGTGAGCTGCCTTTTATCTCCCAGCCTCTTCAGTGCAACAGTTATGAAGTCTCCCCTCTCTCACCCCCAGGCTTTTCATCTTCCCCGGGTTCTCCTCGGAGCTTTAACAAACTGCTGCCTCCACAGGGGCCTAGAGTTGTTGGAGTGGAAACAGCAAAGCTCGAGGCCCTAAGGCCCCGAGGTGCAGATCCCAGCAGGTGCAGACCCTGGTGGGTGCACGCACACGAATCTGCCTTTGGCCCCTGAGAACTCTGCCTCAGAGCCCAGGGGTCTCCGGGGGGCGCGGCCACCTGTCTTACTTGAGCAGGATTATGGATGCAAAGCAAGACCGCGGCCTGAACGACCTCTCAGCAGCTCCGAGGAATGAGCGAGCCGATGGCGAGAGGCCTCGGAGTGCTGTTGGGGAAGGCTGACG